AAACTGAAAAAATCACAAAATTCAAGGCTTTTTAAAAAAACAGGAACTAACGTTTGAAGTTCACTACATCGGTCACTATGACGTGCAGGTACATACGGTATACAATTCTTATGTCTTACCTTGACCGCTTCACGCATGTATTCCGGTCGTATCATACTACCGTTGTCCTTTGCCACTATAAAAAGATATGGGGCGACCGGTAATCCTAAAATATCTCATTATTTCCACAAATATTGATCTAGACTAAGTTGTGAAAACAATGGAACTGTGGAACACTTCCTAAAGGGAGTCCGTATTCGGTATTCTAGCAGGCTTTTTTCAAATAAAAAAATTTCTGACTAATGATTTGTTGACTTTTCGGTTTCGAGCGCTTCCACCTCTTCTCTCTCACTTCCTTCCCGCCCCCTCCCCTTCCCCTTTCCCTAGCCGGCGGCGCGACCAATCTACTGAGTCTGATAGCTGGTGCCTATTGAACGTTCAATAAGGCAACTTTCGATTGTGGAAAGGGTCGTACCGGAGGAGAGAATCGGTGAGGGTGGGGGGGATATTAGCGGAGACTCCCAACCCCCCCCCCCTTCCCCAACGTCAGGACAGTTTCATACCCTACAAGGAATTTTCAATCAGCCGTGCTTACTTACTCGAGCTATCACCGCAGAAATGGTCAGTCCTTACTACAAAGGCACAGTTGGCGCTGACACTATGGGCGGAGACAGTCACTATTTTGCTTTCTTCACTGGCACATTACTCTTCTTTACCCTTCTAGATAGGAGAAGTTTACTGATAAAGAAGAGGCCATGGATGACTGCTCCCACCACCTACGGTCACCAAGGACCGTGCAATTTGAAGACTTTAAAATAACTCCTTTATAATCGCAGAGCGGTGAGCGGTCAAGAGGGTCTAACTATGGGTCCAGAAACTTCAAAAATTCGAGAATTTCCGACCCTACAGCTTTACTCATAAGTTTTTCGTATACCTGCATGCGAAATGGCGGAAGTTCCCGTTCTGTTGGTTGTTCCCCAGTCACAATAATATCAGCCACTTTGACTGATTAGTCGTTACCACATAAGTGTTTACCAGCGATGACCTGGCTCCCGAATCGACTACCCCGCTCCAGTGCCTCCTTTAGGACTTTGACCCCAATCGGGACTTTTGCATGCTAATTGGGATAAAAGAATGAAAAGTTGTTGAGTAAGTATATTCCTTACCTTTAGATGAAAAGAAATCTTGATATTCTTGAAACTCGTCCTTTGCCCGTGCACCATATGGCGTATATCCAGTTATTTCATTTCGCTGCCTGAAAAATCAATAATTGATCAACTCACTGGTAACGGATCGATACCGATAGAACTCACGGAGTGAGTAGAATCTTAACCATCGATAATGCTGAGATGAAAAGGCATATAAAGATAGCAGTCCATGGCCACCGTGCAATAAAGAATCCCCATCTACGGAATTTATCAATAATCCATATCACGAATTTTGGTCCTGAAAAGAATTTTCACTGCTTCATAAACGGATTAATTCGCTGCGATCGTAATTTTATAACAGTACAGGATATTTATCCACGCGGCGTCAATTTGATGGTTCACAATAAGTAAGTCCTATGAAGTTTGCTAGACGATTTCATCTAATATGGTACCAATGAGGCGGAGGTGGTGCAGTGACAAGTGGCGCGCTTACCTCCAACGCGGTCTCGGGCTTGAGTCCCGGGTCACCTCCTGCCTCGGTCAACCAAACTTTCTAG